CCCCAAAACCCCAAAACCCCAAAACCCCAGCAAAAGTAAATACAGAAATTGTGTCGTCATTAAATAATCAAATAAATTAAGTTGAATTATACTTATACGATATTAATAATTAATTCAATATGAGTAGTGCAACTATTGCTAAAGACTAGCTTCAAGTGAAGAGAAACCCCAACGACCCAAGAAGAGACTAAAACGTCATTTTCTTTGACAAAGAGAACATTCAAAAGCTCCACGCTGACACCAACCAAAGTGGCTCAGCCGAGTTCTACCAGCTAGTCTCTATGTTCATCGGTATTTTCGCATTCATGATGAAGGTAAGTCGTGTCTAATGAACAGAAGCATTATATATGAAGATCAATCGATACTCATGATATTAATGTAGGTTAAATGGGCAGCCTGGGGATCACTATTCTTCTTTTTCACAGCAGTCATCAATATGAAGATCGAGGGCAGATTCTAATAAATTTTCACTGGAATTGGGTAAGTCTAATAAAAATATTGACACTCACTTTGTAGTATCATTATGGTTTCATTCGTGTCAGTGTATCTTCAACCCCCTATTCCACAACAGCCAATCACTCAAGCACCCTAATGATCAGCAAAGATAGATATTTGGAATGAGATCATGATGAATAGTTATTAGATAAGTTTTAAGCAGATTTAAGAAATTAAAACAATAGATAATCATTATCAATTTAGGATGGTATTTCCTTCTAAGTTCTATTATATAATCTAGTTTTCCTTACAATAGCATTTTCACTAATCAAGAAGACAGTTGCTTTTAGAACAACTCCATAGCAATATTATGAAACACTCCACTCATAATGCTCTGCTCCTTGCGTATATTATCCAGCAGCCTCTTAGAATTCAACCCAGTTTCCTTATGCAAGCCAATTTCCTTGTTCTTATCCTCTGAGAGTCTCTTCATGTTCTGTTCCTTAGACTGCACTTCTAGCTTGAGCTTTTCTAGCTGCAGCTAGTAGTCCTTGTCCTTAGACTCTAGGTCTCTCTAAAGGTCTTTAATCGTATTTTCTTTGTCCTTGATCTCTAACTTTAGTTCACTGACTATGGCATTCAGCTGAATCTCTTCGTTCTGCTTTATCAGCTAAGCCATTATCTCTTAGTGCTGAGATGTTGACTAGGTCGAGGTTGTGGTTGCTTTTAGAACTATTAACTCCTCTCTCATCAGTTTCTCTTGCTCTCTTAGTCTTTAAATTTCCTCCAATAGATTCTGACTCTCTTTACTCTCAATATTATCAGAGGCTAGCTTCTACTCAATTGAAAGCTTCAACTTGGAGAGTTCATTTTCAAGTTTACTGATCTCTTCTTGCTTAATAATCACCTTTTCCTTTTCCTGCAAATACTAGTGATGATACTCAGTCCTCTCACTTTGCACTTTCTGCAATTGTCTCTAAACCTCGTACAACTGCTCCTACAGCTGCTCCACCTCTTTGGTCTGCTGCTTCATCATTATCTCGTTCTGAGTCATTTTCAAGAAGTACTAATCCCTATCCCTCATTATGCTGTCCATATCCTCGCTCAACTCCTCGAACTTGCCAGGATTGTCTTGCTGTATACTCATGTTTATTATCTTCTCCTGTAGTCTCTGCAACTGCTGCTAAGTCATCTCATTTTACTGCTCAAGCTTCTCCTTCTCTCGTAGAGCATCCTATAATTTACTCTGAATGATCGCCTTGTCCTTGTCGAACTTATTCTCCAATTCCATCTTGAGGATCGAGTTTTCCTTCTCAAGTTGCTTTATCTTCTCTCTCATGTTGGCTTTCTAAGACTCTGGCAGTAAAGCCCCTCCGTCTTCTCTCATCTCATCGTACTTAGCTTATTTGACCTGAACATTAGCCTTCTTAAGTTCTGACTCCAACTGGTCATTAGTTTCCTTGTAAAACTAGTTCTCCTTCTCCAGCTTAATCTTTTCGTTTATTAAGTCGCTATTCTTTTTTTCATTCTTCTTAGACTGAATCTCCAGGATGTCATACTTACTCTTTTCACTGTTTAGTTACTCCTCCAAGTACTGTACGTACTGCTTCAAATTCTTATTATTTCCCTTTTCCTTCTCTAAAATCTCTAGACTCTCTACTAGTCTCTAGTTTCTATCCTGCATGTCCTTATAGTCGCTTTTAAGTTAAGCCATATCCTAGATTTTCTTCTTATAGACCTCTATAATGGCTTCGTTTTTGGACAGCTAAATGATCTTCTCCTTAGTAACATCCAATTCATCTCTCAAAGCCTAATAATCTTCTTCATACCTCTTCTCAGCTGCGGTCTTTTCCTTCAGCAGCTCTCTGATCTTTTTGTTCTTCAAGTCAATCTCTCCCTCTAACTCTTTTATCTCAGATTACTGAGTCATAATCTTATCCTCTCTGACATCTAAATTAGAGTTCAGCTTGTTTTCATAAATTTCAATCTATTTCTTCAAATCTGTTATCTCTATCTTGGCCTCCTCTAGACCATTTACTAGATTCTTATTCTCTTCTTCGTATTTTACAATAGTAGCTCTGACTCTAGTTCTATCCTTTTCAATTGTTTGCATCTACTGATAGAGTTCCTCAATCTTTTCATCCTTTCTTTATAGTTAATGATCGTATTCCATCTTGTCAAAGTCCTTATCAGGTGAGGCCTCGAAAAGTTTCCGCTTATTTAGCAGCTAATCACTGAATCCTCCTCCACTCATGGCAAAGTTATCTCTCTGACTGATTATTGGATCTTGATTTATATGTTAATCTGATGTATCGTCGAAATCAGACTACCCGTTAATGAATGCCATTACTCTCTCGACCATTGAACCTAAGTTATATTGATCATCCTGATCTAATTCCATAAATTTGCTAATGTAGAAATCCTTATCAGGACAAGACACGACAACACCTAAAACGAGTTCAAACAGCTTTATCGTTGATTCAGTTTTGCCTTTCTATATCAAAATGCTTTCGAGATCAATGTCGTTTTTCAACTCAATACTATGTGTCTACACATTAAACTGTTTAAAACCTAGATTAAACTTACTTGCAAGTAATAATCAGCAACAGCTTATTTAATTCTATTCAGGTTCTAAAGTTTTTCCTCCATTTAATGATCTCTGCGATAAATCTGGAAGTTGCCAATTGTGTTTATGAAAAAATCTCGTTCTCTATATCAAAGAATGATTATCAATTTGTTCCATAATATTAAAGCATGATTTCTGATCAATTAGAGCTTAATTGCTTACACTTAAATTAGAATGTCAGCCAGGATTACTCCGTCAGAGAGATCGTCAACTGTATCACAAGATTTTTAAAAAATTCCAAAATTTTATATCTAGAAGTAAATTTGTCATTATCATGTTATTGCATACCCATCTAATCATAGACTGAGTTTGAAAATGCAGGGGAGATGCCATTTTCTAAATTTGGTACTGATTGATTTAAACTAATTATAATTTGATTTAAAATTTAAACTTCTCAAATGATATCAAAATCGCTATTAAGGGGTTTTGGGGTTTTGGGGTTTTGGGG